GAGATTTGTTGTGGTATGACTCATATCCCATATAGGGACAGACGCTGGATCGAAGCGGAGTGGAGCGGAGCGAAAGAAACTGTCCAAATTGAGAAGTTACGTGGGTTGGGGTGCGGGGGCAAAGCCCCGCGGTATGGTACAGGGGTAATGTTGTAATTACATATTGTGCCTAGGGTTTACTCCTGGGGTTATAAATAGATCTGTTAGTAACCCCATGAGGTATTCCTGAATTCTGTAACATCTTTTCTGAATATTGAAAGGAACTCGCCGCTCTGCTCCCGAGGACGTAGACATCTTTGCCGAACCTCGTTAAATCTCTGTGTTCTTCTGGATTTGTGTCGATTACTGTTTTTCTTCGCCCTAATTTTCTCAAAAGGTAATTATCATCAAGTGGACGGTTTCAGACAACAGTGGTTGGGTGAAAGAAGTTGTGGACTCTAGTCTGACGATTTTGATGATTACCAAGTTCGTCTAGCTAGTCGGATGATGATAGTGATTGTCAAGTAAACCTCTTTCTAACTCTAAGTTTAGATTTTGGTTCAAGCTTCCCTTCTTTTCCTTTTGATGAATATCAGTGTCTAGTTTAAATTTCTAGAATAAAGTAGTATTTTGTCCAAGCACGCCGAGTATAGTGACAAGTAGAATTTCATTTCGGGTGGTAACAGTGGTTTTGCTACTTTTTTGTTGCTAGTAGCACACACTTTCTCTTACTAAACATTACATGAAATGAATGATCCGGGTTAGGAATGGAAATAAGATTGGATTGATATGTGCAGCAAAAATTATATTTTAATTCGAGATTGTATGTAATAACATGTCCCAATGTTATATTTAATCAACACTAAACTTTTTGGTTGTTAATAGATATGAAGTTTTCAATACAGTGAATGTTCATATTTGCCATATTGAATTTAAGTTGAATCATGAAATAGCACGGAAAAAAAAATGAAGCGAGGTATGTTCATCTTATTCCCACTTTCTGAAATGAAATTGTATCGAAGAACTTGTTAGATAGTAGGAGCACTTTTAATAAGATCACTAACCAATGGTAGATGGAGTAAGGAAGATGTATGCAATAGACTGCTCCCATGTTAAAAACATGTAAAAACATATGCGATTGTGTCTAGATTGAGATTTGCGATGAACACCAACAGGAATTCATAATAAAAGAATTTGCTAGAGAGATCTAAAATTGGTATTGTTTGAAAATGATCAGACTAAAAACTAAGTACAATTAAACTGGAAGACCTTAGAGCAATTTATTCTTAACAAATTTGTAAACCAAATATCACTCCAAATCATTACTTTGCATTTGGAGCTATTTCTTGAACAATTTACATTTTTTTACCGACATTCAGAGCAACATTTTTAAGTCTTAATATTCACTATCTCTGATATGCTGCATGTATCTAACCTTATAACTCACATTCACTTAAATATTTTTGATATATTTCTATCCTCCAAACAAATAAAAGAAAAATTCATATCTTATAGCATCATTCCATAAACAATGGTCATTAATCCTCACTTCAGCTTGATCATATAGATGACGAACCCTCATTTGCCGACGATGTAGCCGTCGACAATGACGGCAATGCTTATGTTACCGACACGAAATCAAACAAGATCTGGAAAGTAGGATTGAATGGCGAACTCCTATCAATCATAAGGAACAATACTTTCCTCCAAAAGAAAGAATGGTACAGAACCTTCGTTGGGCTCAACGGAATTATACACCACCCAAACGGCTATCTTCTAGTCATACACACCGCTGGTGGCTATCTCTTCAAAATTGATACCAAAACCGAGGAAGTAAAAGTTGTACAAGTTACAGGTTCTGTTCTGCTGGGAGATGGCTTGGAGCTGCTCTCACCAAGCAAGCTGGTAGTTGCAGGCACCCCTTCTGCTAGAATTCTGGAGAGCTTCGATGATTGGAATACTGCAACTGTCACGGAAAGATTTGTCGGACCTTTGCATCGCATCGCCTCATCGGCGACGGTGAAGGACGGGAAGGTTTACATTAATCATTTATTGGGATTTGGATTTACAAGGTGGACTCATGTTCTTACTGAAGCTGTTTTCACTCCTTTGGCTGCCAAGTGACCAATCATCAGTGGTATGCTAGGTTATCGTTGGGCCCTTTACATTAATACCAGACAAATCCTATATATTTACATGTCTAACATCTAAACTTTACTTTTTTCTTGTACTTATGCCACCGGAATCTTTCATGTTACGTCAAAAATACCGTCATTTTAAATTTCAGAAAGTGGAATATACCTTTTGATGCATAGGTAAGGTGGTATGTATCTAAAAAGTAAAATGTAGGTGTTAGATATGTAAATAAGTAGGAATTGAGTGGTATGTGTTTGAACCCTGCTATATTATGTCTTTATGTTTCCACATGATTTGCAAAGTAGATCTGTAGAGTGTGTTTCTGTTTCTGATTTCATCTTGTATGCTATGTCTGTTCATTTCCATTTGTTGTGGTGGGTTTTTTTAGTTGATTTTGTAATGTAAACCTTCATTGGATTTAATTCATGTTAAGCTATGGAGCATAAGTTAAGTAAACATCATTTGGGCAATTGCATGTAAAGATTCTTAATGTTTATGTAATTTGTTATGTTTACATTTATTCACTCTTCATGGTTTTAACTTGGTTTAAACTCTACTTTTTTTATATTTATACTGCCTAATTGTTTTATATGACATAAAAAAATATCACTATTTTAAATTTTAAAAAAAGTAAAATACATATTTTCATGCAAAAGTAAGACGTAAATATTAAAAAAATTGAAATTTAAGTATTAGATATGTAAATATCTAGGAATTAAGCAGTGTGCATTTAAATCTTGATAAATTATTTGTTTACATATTTAATGCTTAAATTTTACTATTTGCATTAAATTTTTTTTAGATGATATATCACTTGTGGTATCGTGCTCAACTATTTAAATTATTAAATATACGAGGTCTCTCCGGTCTCATTATTTTTCAAAAAAAAAAATATCATTTCCACAAAATTAAAATTACCTCTGGTCTCATTATTTTTCAAAAAAAAAATATCATTTCCACAAAATTAAAATTAACATTATATATTATACTAAATTTATTTTTTTTTTCTAAAAAATGAACTTAAAATAATTTCTAAAATTATGCAAAGCACCTCGAATTCAATATGGTTATATGGCAAGAGATTATAATATTGAACCAACGAGTATATTGATTGTCTGACCAAGTTGATTTTTAAAGAATTATGATTTATATTATCACAAACATAGAGAGACGAGCTCAACAAACAGAATTGACGAGCATGACGGTGCTCGGTGCAGGAGCTTGATGAGTTCAGGCGAGCTCGATAGAGGAGCTCGCATGTTTTCCTGATATTCTAGAGAGATAATTCTTGTGGTCGTTATTTGGATGGACACAGTCGATGAGTATGGATAGACAAGAACAGGCTTCAGGCTTCAGCCGATGGACCTGAAGCCTGATCCAATAGATCCAAAAGGCCCACTATACATATGGGCTGGTCGGCATTAATTTCAACATAAATTAAACATTTTTGGCCAACCAAATAAATAACAGTGCCGGTAGCGTGCTCAACTGCGAAGCGGATATATAGTCGAAGGAATCCATAAGCCCTTCGCCGGCGACAGGGCGGCGTTCTTTCTTCAACTCAAAAGCACCATTTCGTTTTTCTCTGCTCCAGAAATATTCGTCACCCTCGCTTCTTCCTCAACTAGGTGGATTGGGCATCGAATTCTGTGGTTTTGGTTTACTCGATGCTATGCCATTGGAGAAGTTGCTATATACTATTATTATCACTGATTTGATGCACTTAGTTGTGCTTGTTCTTATAGATTTAAACTTGGATAGAAATTGGTTGTTTTTCTAGGAATCGCTTCTTTGCTTTGAGAAGTTTGTTTTTGGGGTCAGTCATTTTAATTGGGTTGTGTATTTTTACTGATGGTAATGTTTTATTTCATTATTGTAGTGGCTCAATGGCTCTTAGTAGTTTGCTGTGCCTATTTGTCAGTTATTGAATGGATGAAATAGGGTAGTTTCTAGAGAATGGACGATTTGTTCAGATTACGTCGATTTTAGGGTTATCCTTTAAATTAGGTTGGCTATCTGTAATGACAAGAATGTTTTACTTCAATTTTGTGATGGATCATTGGCTCTAGTGGCTTGGAGATTTTGAACAGAAAAATTGCTCGGTGTTTATGCTTTCCTGTGCCTGGTGGTAAGTTATTGAATGGAAACCATTCTTTCTTACAGCAAAATGCGCAGTATATGAGCAAACAGTTTATCTTTTTTGAATGTGGGGCTGTTGGGTGTCTTATTTAGGCGGGATTTAAATTATATTTATCTTGAACCTTCCAAACATATTTTGTAGACTTTAATAGCCACTGTTTTGATAATTCCAATTTTGACCCCGTTATTGATTAAATCCACGATTTGCTAGACCCCACAATTTATGGCTTTTTAATTGATTTAATGATATGTCCATTCATAAATTATAGAGCTTGAAACAAAGAATCAAACAATTTATCATGATTTATAAAGTTTTAATAGTTTTTATTGCCAAAGTTTTCAGGCCTTGCGGTCTGTTTGGGGCAGCCGCACCTTATTAAAAATCAGTTGTGAAGCTGCTGAGTAATAATATGATGCTCAAAAAGCTGTGATGACAATTACAATTTTTTTTTTTAATTCAAATTGCAGATATAAAGTTGTCACCACACCTAGCATGGAGTGGTGGGAAAACACAAATTTCAACGACAATTTTTTGAGTTTTTGAAAAAATTGTCAACTCGCAGTTTACCCAAACAAAAAAAAAACTGTGATGTCGTGCCGCAACACCACCGCACCGCCGCCCCAAAAGGGCCTTTTATCTTCTCAAGATTTAGCTGATTCTGTTTCGGTTAAACCTTAGTTGTTGCCAAACAACTTTACGTTTCTATTAGTAAGCTATTGATTGGAAATCATCTTTTCCTAGAGTATGATGTGAAATATAAGAGCAAGCGGTTTCTCTATTTTGAAAGTCTAAATAATTAATTAACTTTTTGACTTCATATAACTCCAATACATATGCTCTGTCTCTTCTTTTAACTTACAAATATTTCTCCCATGGTGTGTTTTTGGTGTATGTATATCTTTGTAGTTTGCACTACACTGGTTCATATGGTGTGTCATATGGAGTACTTGCACTCATTGTTACATCTTTTTAAAATTATTGGACACGAAAAGTCAATGCATTCATCTGATCTTCTAACAAACTGTTTTAGTCAACAACTGGCAACCATGCTTTCTCATTACTTTTGCATGATGTAGATATTCTATGTATTCCTTTGTTTTTGATCGGACCATTTTTTTTCTGTTAATTAACTGTGGCGCGGTTAATTAGGAAACTGAGAGTTGACGATGTATTCAATCTGTCCTTTCTGCCAAAGGGATGTTCTTTCTGCTGAGCTTCAATGGTATGCTTCGCATATTAGCAATTCCCCGAACGCAATAATATCTGATGATATATTTTCAAGGACATGTTTTGATTTTTTTCCTTATAAAATATGTGTTTTTTCCTTGTGCAGGCATGCCAACAATCATTTTCTAGAAGATGATTTTGAAAAGGACATGCAACTGGCAAAACAAATTTCACTAGAACTCCCAACTTCAATACTCATGGTAGGCTTGAATTTTATGAAGCATTTCTAATTGTTTATACATATTTTAGGCATTTAATTTTCTTTAACTCGGTGGTAAGTTATGTACTTGGTGCCCTAATCGATGGAATTTTAAAGCCTCCTTTGATTTTGGTATATAAATTATTTTTCATTCTTTTGATGAAGTTGTTGCAGGGAACATTCTTCATGATTTTTCAATGCCTTCATGTCTAAAGTATTCTTTGGGGTTTCATGCATTTTAGGCGTGTTAAATGGGCTATACAACCTCATTTAATCAAGCGTTTTAAAGCTCAACATGAGAGCATCTTTTAGCTCAGCTTTATGTTAAGTTTTGATAGGCTGCTCGTTAAGGTTTGTTTAGGTGCAGTTAAAATGTAATATGTTAATTTCATAAAACTCATTCATTAATTTTGTTGATTAAATAATTAATTGGGTTATTCCTTGTTAGGGTCAAGAATACCCTCTAGAAAAAAAAAAAATCATAACATAAAATTTTATCAATATCGGAATTATTCAATCAAATCAACTAAGGTGAGTTTGGAGATAGAGTGTCATGTTGAAAACTCGTTTCAAATTGATTTTGTGTATATAGTAGTTTGATCAAAATCTGATTTTACCTAGCTCAAAAGTAATATAGATTTTTGGATATCTACAAAGAATAAGTAAAATATTGGTTTAATAAGTTATCTTCCTACTAAAAATCTTGGTTAATTTGTATATTGAATTATCTTCATATTTTTTTATATTGTTTGCATCGTAATATAGTTCATTCTTTCAAAGCATTGCATATATTGGTTAACTGTTTTATAGTGCGTACTAATAAAATAATGTTTGTCATATCCTTTAAAAAAAATTAAAAAAGAAAAAAAAAAGAAGAAAAGAAAAAAAAAGATCGAACTACATAAATATATAATACAATTTTAATTCAGCCAATTATGGTATTTCTTGTGCATCTTTTTTTTTTCATAATAAATGAATTAATTGAGTTAGTTTATGATTCATATTTAGATTATTTGATTTTTAAGGGCTTCATTTTTTAAAGACCATAAGCATGAAGTACGAACAATTTTATTTTTTTTATTAAATTTTGATGTGCATGCTTTATGCGGAGTTGGTTGGATGATGAGTAGTAGCAGGAATCATCAGTGGTGGTGGTGACAAGTGATGGCGGGGCCATAACATCAATCATCGATTTGGGTGGCAACTGCAAGTAATTGGTGAGCAACATTATAAATATGCACTGAGCTGCCCCAAATTAGGACCAACCCATTAGGTCTTTTAAGAGTTTGGGCAACCCATTTAACACTGCCTTGATGCAATAGTCTTCTGGCTATCTTTATTTTTATCATAATAACCATGGAAAATTTTTTTAATGAAATTAGTGGATGGAAGTATTTGATTTTTTGTTGACTTCTGTACTCTTTCCTGCTGGTAATATTACATTATGAATAATTTTTTAGGCATTTGCATGTTCAATATCAATGGATTGTAGAATTCTAATACTAACTAACTATGCTTGCTCCTTAAATGATGCAAAAATAACTATATGCTAAAAAGCAATAATGAACTAGGAGTTTCTATTATAATTCTATAAACACCGAAACATTTTCTTACAAACCTATGCTATTATTACTTAGAAAAATGAAATTAAAGAGCAAATTACTTTCAAAATAAATAAATAAATAAATGTAGAATAATTTTTTGGATGATCTAAATTTGAATGGTGTTGAGTAGAGAGGCCTTAACGTGATTTGGATGACTGCTTGAAGGATGTGAATGTTTTCCTTATGAAATTTTTTATGATTTTTTCTACTATAATGTTATTTTAATTATTTTTTATTGTTTCTCTATTAATAATAATTCAAGGATTTTAGTAGGAGATTTTGGATTTTATAAGAAGCACAATTGGTAGGATGAATACTTTTTCAATCAATGTGGAGGAAAGGTTTTAACAAAAATTCCATAAGTAATTTTTTAAATAATAGATATAAAACTTTTTAATAGATATTTATTGATTATAAATATTGGTAAAAAGCAAGCTATTTCTCATGAACTCCACGTAATGAGTAACTTATAGTAGGGCATTTAGGCCGGACTTAAAATTAAGGCCTTTATCCTAAAAGTTAGAAAGCGTGATTTATAATTACATCTCATTTGTGCGCTATCAAAAACTTGCCTAGATTTGAATATTAATCATTTCAATCTATTTTTTTAAACTAATCAAGGTTGAAGTAATCCCTTGTACAAGTGCAAATTAGAATATACATTAGAACATGCCAATAATCTAACAAAATGGAAATATTCTCTCCCGAAATCCCATCTACATTGCAAATGAAGGAATAAAAGTTCTTAACTTTTCTAGTTAAGAATTAGCAACCCAAAAAGCAAATGTTACCCATCCTTAAAAGTTAAAAACTATGGAATGCTCAAAATCTTGTTATTAACTTTAGTTTGCTGCCCTCTCCCTATATCCTTCATGTAGTTAAAACATTGATGTATCTTGCAAAGTAGTTATGTAGTCCCTTGGTGTAGCACTTGTTGGATATTCTATCTTTCTTTGGATATTCTATCTTTCTTTGTCAAGTGATGCATTTATCGACATTACTGTGGCACCCTACTTGCATGAAATAAATTTTACTTTTTATTTGAAATTGAGATGTGAGAACATCTACTCTCGACCTTTATGAATACATCATCATAACTTTGTTGGCCTTTTACTTCGTCGTCTAATTGCATTGAGATCTTTGTGACTACTTTTGTTAACATTGCATTCCTTGTAAGATCATTATATTTTTATTTAATTTTGTTTATCATCTGTACCATTTAAATTTAAAGAAAGCAAGTTGTTGATTTATTGACTACAAATCCTTTTTTTTTTCTAATGATTTACATGCATCTCATCATTATAGTTGCCTTAAGAAACTCCTGACCTTGAACCGCCTTGCATTTATTATAGATAAACATTTTATTATAACTTGTAGAAAAAAAACAGACAAATAAATCCACCAACAATTACAATTAAGCATAAAATCTATAAAACTAAAACCCTTGTAGAATCTTCCTCGAAATAAAAAACATAGGAATTAGATAGTGTCCAGAGGATTATGTTAACAACTATAAGAATTAGATATTAGTAGTAAAAGTTTGATAGTAGTCATAAGAATATGAAAAAAAATATTGCAACACAACCAAACATAGCGAAGTAAAATTTAGAGCTTGCAATCCAGGGGTCAAATCTTGCTATAAAACTCTTTTTCACTGCAGGGTAAGTAAAGATTATGATGACTCGTCTAGATTTTTTAGAATTCAAAATTGAAATTTTGAAATAATCGACATAATGAAAACAATTTATGGTTTACGCATAAAAATTATGAGTTTAGCATAATTTTTATTTTGGTTTATTTGACCTTCTATTATCTCTTTTTTATTGCTTCTTGCTTGGGTTTTTTTGTCTTCCCTTAAGGCATTTTAATTGTTCATTTATCCAATTCATTTCCTTCTTCTTTTTTAGCCTTCTCTGCATCCCACATTACCATTTTATCATCGCATGCTCCATCATCCTAAATTTTTCTGTGCCATGGATGCTTTGTTTTTTTCATAGCTTCTTTAATTTGATGGTATAAACTTCAACCATTAGTGGTTTTTTGATAGAGTATTTACCCATATTGTTTTGATGAGAACATATACTTTATTGGTTTTTGTAGTAATATTTTTTAAAATTTTTTTGATTAGTTTATTTGCTTACATCATAGTGCATCAAGAAAGTCGTTGTAAATCATGCATGAATGAAATTCAAGTCCATTGAAGTCCATGGATTCTTTTCTATGTTTAAAAAGGTTTTATTTTTATGTACTCCTAATTTTATGTATGTGATCGCGTCAAGTTTTGTGGAGCTTAAATAATACTTTATTATTAGTTGATTTACTTCATGTATTAACATAATTATAAAAGTTCTTTATCATTCAATAGTTCAACTTCAACATCTTGATTGGTTGACTTTGTCCATATGTGATCTATTATTTGGTAAATTATCAAATTGTAGTTAAAATAATCATTTCTTGGTTTATCTGTTTTTGATATATGAGTTTCTTTAACTTGATCATTCAACTCAATCAACCATTTCCAATAAATTTATTTTCTCCATGACTTAAAAGATTGATGAGGTTCTCGAACTTAATTTATCTTTAAGAGAATTAAGAAAAACTATACTTATGTGAATGGAAAGTGGATTAGCGGAGAAGTCTTAAGTTGGAGCTCTCATTGGTGGATGTAGTTTTTATTTGAAGTAGAACCCTCTGTAAATGCATGTTTGTTGGGCTGTTCTTTTTTTTATTACTTGAACGATCATAAGTTTTACTAGCATTCAATGTTGTATATCCTTATATTATTTTTTGTTAAGTGGGTTTAAGTCTAAATGATTTTCAAGTATTGCGATTTGATTTTAAACACCCAATTGACTTCTTTTGGGTTTTTTCTTGGGCCAACCTCGTTGTTTGTCATTGTTTTCTTGTTGGTAATGGTGATGGATGATGCGGTGGTTTTATGGGTATGTAGGCTATTTTTTTCTTTTAATATTATTCATTTTTATCAAATGTTCGTGAAGAATCCACACAATTTTGTTTTTCAATGATGTGAAATCTATTTGGTTGCAATAGTGTTTTTTGTGTGGAGAACCCACAAGTTATTCTCACCAATAGGTTGGTTGGTGCTACTTCCCTCACGACGACATGAATCCTCTTTGAGGGTTCTACTTCAAATTATAGAACCCACAATGTGGGTTTAGATTGCGTGCCACGCTCCCCCTAAATTTTAATGTTATATATATATGTATATATGCCCCGCATACTCATATCAGTTAGTCGGACATCTGCTTGTCAGTTGTAAGTTCCCTCTGGTATGGGGTTCGATTCCCCCCGAGTCTAGGGCGTGGTACTCGAATTATAGGCGCATGAGGGATGGTCAGGGTTTCATATCATAGCCTCCTCCCATTCCTAGTATATATATATATACATACACAGACACCCCTGTATTTGTTGTTTCCCATTGTAAACATTTAATTCACACTTTTCAAAAATATATATATATTTACGTTTCTCTTTTGAAAAAAAAAATCTACTTCTGCCACCGGCACTCGATAGTGAAAATGACAGGCTAAAGTGACTTTGTTTGAAGCTTCTATTTTAAGTAGATTGATTGCTGAAGCTACTTGAGTCTGTTTAGCTTAATTGGATCATTTATATTTACTTGCAGTAGGGTTCCCAACCTTTGGTGTTCAGTTTCTATCTGTTGTTTGTTACTTAGGTCGTTTTTTTTTTTGTTAAAAGTCTAGAACGGTAATTTTGCAGGATTCACCAGCTTATTCTGAGGAGTCTTCTAGCGGTTTCTCTGGAAGGAGTGCAGAAATTAGCAAATCAACCTTTAAAGAAAATCATCATGGATTGAGGGACATTCTTCTTCAAGAAAGGATATCTTGTTTAGTGGGACTGCAAACTAAAGACACCTTCTACAAAGTTGAAGGCGGCCTCATGAACTTATTGAGGAAATGCCTCCAATTAGAAAATAGAAAATCTAGAAGTGTAATATCAGGTTATGTTGACCACTATCAAAGTGTTCAATCAGAAGATTATGGCTGGGGCTGTGGTTGGCGAAACATTCAAATGCTTAGCTCTCATTTGCTGATGCAAAGAAAAGAAGCAAAGGTTGTTTTATTTGGTGGTTCAGAATTTGTTCCTGTTATTCCTTCGCTCCAAAGATGGCTTGAAGTTGCCTGGGAAAGAGGATTTGATGTACCTGGATCACTTTCTTTTAGCAAAGAAGTCTATGGCTCAAAAAAATGGATTGGTGCTACCGAATGTGCGACACTCTTCCGTTCTTTTGGACTTAGGGCTATGGTTGTGGACTTTGATAGCTTACCATCTTCACGCAAAATGGTCGAAAAACTGGTTTACGGTCCAATGGACAAATTCTTACAGCGCTGCCAAAATGAGAAACACAGTAACGTAATAAATCTTGAGAGCTCAAATAAAGGAGAGAGTATTGGTGGTCATCAGGTTCTCATGGAATGGATCTGGAATTATTTTACTTACGAGGCAGGTTCCAGGTTAGATGATTTTCAAGATGTTCTGATAAGCCATAAAACGTAAGTTGATTCCATTTCTTCCAACTAATTTCTTAGGGATCCTAGTTTTTAAGTATTGATCATTTAAATTTCACGCCAAAATTATTAGCTTTGCTTGCATTTTCGTAATAACAAAATGTCTTTTTTTTCCCTATAAAAAGGCCTTTGTATTTCCAACACGACGGTCATTCAAGAACTATCGTTGGCATCCAAATGCAGAAGTTTGCGAAGGGGCCTGAACAAAAATATTCTCTATTGATTTTGGATCCTGGCCAAGTAAGCTAAGTTTATCATGCTCGTTGTTAAGGTATAGAGCTTTTTGCTCTTTAATTTAGTATTAAAATGTAGGAAGATTTACATACATGCCTCTGAATTCTGTTGTGTTTACATATCTAACACCTAAGCTTCAATTTTTACCTATATGCCACCTTGCCTAGCATAAAATGGTGCATTTCACTCTTTATAAGTTAAAATAATGGTATTTTTGATGTGATATGAAAGATTTGGGTGGTGTAAATGTAAAAAATAAAGTTTGAATTTTATATATGTAAATGCATAGGAGTTGGGTGTTATGAATGTAAAAGCTCCTAAAATGTATCCTGGCATATCCGAGGTTTAAATATTTGGTTCTTAAATTTCCCTCTTAAAGGCTAAGACTCTGAGCTGAAACGTATAAAAGCAAAATGCAATGCTTCACATCCACCGTGCCATTTTCAAAGGATGATTTTTCATTTGTCAATATGAAATCAGAGCAGTCATCCCTTTTTTTTGTGACTTTATCAAGAATTAATTGCCCTGAAAAATTTATCCATTTCATTAATGGCTTAGGCTTATATAACAACATTTACAAATAAATCTCTCGACTTCTTCTATTTACAAGTAGGACCATACATTAGATATAAATCTCAACACTTCGCCCTCAAGATGGCAAAAGATATCCGCTAAGCCCATCTTGTCACATAACCTAGACAAATCTAATGAGCTCAGTCCTTTGGTGAAGCAGTCAGCCTCTTGCTCTTCAGTGGCTACATGAATTGGCTCCAGTATTTTGTTATTCAGCTTTTCTTTGATGATGAACTTATCAATCTCTGCGTGTTGGGTTCTATCATGTTGCTCTGGGTTGTTGGCAATGCTAATTGTTGACTTGTCTCACCACAACTTCATTTGAGCTCCTCGGTTCACCTTGAGTTGTACCAACAAGGCTCTCAGCCACATCATCTCAGCAACTCTTGAGTTGTAGGCTCTCAGCCACATCATCTCAGCAACTCCTAAGGCCATATACTTTGTTTCTGTTGTTGACCTCTACTGATTGTTTCTTGCTCTTCCAAAAGACTAAGTTGCCCGTTGGGAACATGCAATATCCAGATGTAGACCTCATGTCATCTATACAACTCGCCAATCAAAGTCACAATAGCCCTCAACGCTTACATATCAATTGTTCATTAAAATCAACCATTTCGTTGGTGCACTCTTTAGGTACCTCAGAATCTGATCCACTGCCTCGAATCATGCATGTAGCTCTTCACCACACTTATGCAAATGATATGTCGGGACAAGTTTGACTTAGATAGATGAGGCGTTCTCCAAACTTTTGGTACTTCGCACGATCAACTGGTTCTTCTGTCTCAGCGCTCAACTTTCTCTTCTGATCAATTGATGAAACTGCTATCTTGCATCCTAACATATTTGTCTCTGTGAGCAAGCCTAGCACATATTTCTTCTGAGATAGAACAATCTCCTCTGCTTCATGAGCCATCTCAATCCCGAGGAAGTTTCTAAGTTGTCCCACATCCTTCATCTCAAACCCCTTGCCCAAATTTGCCTTCAGTTAACCAGTCTCTCCCTCATCGTCTTTAATGATAATCATATCATCCACATACACATCAAGCATAGTAATGACCTCATGTTGTCAAAAGAATACTGTGGTTGGCATAGTAATGACCCCATGTCGTCGAAAGAATACTGTGTGGTCGGCATTGATTTGTTGATAGCCCATGACTACTATTTTTTTTTTTAACGTGTTAAACCAAGCTCAAGGAGATTGTTTCAAATCGTACAATGACTTTCTCAATCTACATACCTTAACCACTGTTTGATTCATGTTGAAGCTTGGGGGTATCTCCATGTACACCTTTAGCGGATCCCCATCAAAAAACACATTATTTACATCTAGTTGGTGTAATCTCCATCCACCATTCACAGCATAAGAGATAAATGTCTTGATTGTGCTCATCTTTGTCATTGGTGCAAATGTCTCATCATAGTTAATGTTATACGTCTGACTATACTATTTCGCCTCCAACCTTGCTTTGTAGTGATCTTTTCTTCTAAGGTTTGCTTCACTGTAAAGACTGATTTGCACCCAACTACCTTTTTCCCTAATGGTAGCAATGCGAGCTCCTATGTTTTGCTCTTGAGCACCATGTTGCTCCAACATTGCAGCCTTCCACTTCGGATCTTTTTTAGATACTTGCCAATACTTGGGTATAAAGACAATGTCCAAAGATGCAATGAATGCTCAGTGTAAAGTTGATATGTTAGAGTATGAGACAAACTTGACAATGTCATGTGAGAAACCAAAACGATCAGGAGAACAGTGTAAAGTTGATATGTTATAGTATGAGACAAACTTGGCAATGTCATGTGAGAAACCAAAACGATCAGGAGAATAATGATCAGGAAGATGGCCTGCATTATTGCGAGAGGTCATCTTTAGTCATTGGAGTGGAAGGAGAATAGCAAGAGGAATCATATCATCTGTGTAATCAAAATTTCAGGTGGATAGTGCAGGTGTCTTAGGAGTCGGGATAGACCAGGACAAGGGAATTGTTGACACAAGTGGCATTGTAGGCACTGTTCTCTCATTATGTATTTTTCTCCTTATATACACCCTCGGCTCCCCTTGAGCTTGAGTCCCACCACCTTCATACCTCTCCTCTTGAGCTTGAGTCCCACCACCTTTAGACTCATTTTCCTCATTTTCCGACTCATTCTCATTCGATCCTTCTCAGAAAATGGGATCAGGCATCATTCCCACCTGACTATCATTGCTCTCCTCCTCTCGCCTCATCCTCCAGCATCTGACGAGTCACCAAAAAGTGAGGTTACCTCCAAGGTGTAGTATAGTTTGAATTATCTAAAAGGCACATCCATACTCACAAATAGTCTCTTCTCTATTGGGCTTCAACAAACATACATTTTCTGAGTGGCAGAATAACCCATGAAAATCCACTTCACAACTTTGGGTTCTAGTTTTCCTATTGATGCTCTATTATCCTTCACAAAACATACACAACCAGATACCTTCAATGGGAGGATCCCTCCATTTTCTCCTTTAAACAATTCACACGGGGATCATCACTCCAACACTCTTGAGAACATTCTATTGATCAATTGAGCAGCTTCAAAACAGCTTGCCCCCATAAGTGCTTTGGGACATTCATCAGGATCATCATGCTTCTGACTAAAATATGTCTATTACTTCTCTTTGCTACGCTGTTTTGTGCCGGTCTGCATGGACAAGTGGTTTGATATTGTATCCCTTGGGCTGACAAGTACTATCCAAACAAGAAATTGACAAGATTACTAGCAAATTGAACGATAAGATTTTAAAAACATCTATTATTTTCTCTATCAAGTATTTTAGAGGGCTCAACGAATACTGGCTACAAAACATCTGGCTGTTATTATCATTAATTTTCATTACAGAAGTGTATCATTTGTTAATGTTTTCTTATCTTAGTTCTATGTAAATGGTCTTAGAGGACAAGAGATTTAGAGAAGACTCTCGGAGATAATAATGGATGGCAGAAGCTTATAAAAAGAGGATTTCACACACTGAAGAAGCCACAATACCAGGTTATAACATCTATTTCTCTCTCGCATGCGCACACATACACACACATATCCTTATGTTAGTGTGGATTCTAATTAAGCTAATCTTAACTACTTTCTTGTTGTTAGTTATGCTACATTGATCCTGGGGTGGCTTATGATGAGGAATGGGAAGATCTTAAGACCATCCACAGCGAGTATATCAGACTGTAGAAAATATGAAATCAATGGTATTTTTATACGCATACTCCGATTTGATGACCTTTGATAATCTTTTATGGTAGTCTAGTTTTAAGTTTTTCTAGAATCGGATTCCCTTTTTCTGATAGATTAGCATGTTTGTAATGATCTCTCTCTATTTTATTTAATGAATTGTTAGCATAGAATGAAGGTTTTCTGTTAGTTCAGTCAAAAAGGCATCTAGCTCTTTTGGTTGAATAATCTTGATTAAATGTTGTAATCAGTTTCATTTAGTGTTGAACTGGTGCAGTCTCGTACTCAACAACCTTTCCTTTCCCCATTACAGAAATCAATTTTGTATTAACTGTTTAAACCTTAGTATTTTAGTTCATTTTTTCTTGTTTCGCATATGTCATGGTTTGTGTGGGAAACCCATTATAGAAAGCTTGGCATTGCATTTGTATCTCCATGGCTCTGCATCATGGTCACTAAAGCAGCTTTTTCATGTTTTTATAATAGAATCACTCTCATTTTAGAGAAAGGATCTAATATTGACGAATCGAGTATCATCATCAATTCCCATGTGTCAATTTTGAGAATAGAATCACTTAATTTCATTGATAGGAGAAGGGTTATAAATACATATTATAAAATCCAAATAAAAGGAAAGAAATAAAATCAGAAATACATAAATATGAATATGAAGAAATAAGTAAAGCAAACAAAATCTAATAAATAGAATCTCATAAGAACTTAATTATTAGTTAGCCTAATAATTAGGCTAATAATTAATTTCAAAACTCCCCCTCAAGTTGAAGCATAGATGTCAATCATGTTCAACTTGAATTTGAAGTCGTTAAACAATGACTGAGGAAGATTTTTGGTAAGGATATCTGTGATCATTGGATGGGACAAATGGAATACAAATCTCCCATAAATCAAGTTTCTCTTTAATGAAGTGTTTATGGATCTTGATCATTGGATGGGACAAATGGAATGCAAATCTCCCATGAATCAAGTTTCTCTTTAATGAAGTGTTTATGGATCTCTACATGTTTGGTCCGATCATGTTGAACCGAATTATGGACAATGTTAATAGCTACTTTATTATCACATAACAGTTGGATAGGAACAGAGAATGTCATACACAATTCACGAAGCATAATGTGTAACCATAGAGCTTCACAAATACCCAAGGAGATGGAATGAAATTTGGCGTCCGCATTACATCGGGCCACAGTCGACTGTTTTTGTTTTTCATGTGATGACATTTTCTCATCGAATGAGCAATATCCTGAGGTGGATCGTTGGTTATTGACGGACGACCCAATTTGCATCTGCATAAACTACTATAGAACGCGAGTTATGGTTCGAGAAACATAATCATGTCTGGTGTGTCTTTTAAGCAATGAAGGATCCAGTGGACAACTTGGAGATGATGCTCATAAAAATCGTGCATGAACTGCCTTACAATACCTACTGTATGGCAAATGTCGGGACGAGTATGGGCGAGATAAATTGTTTCCCCAAAATTCGTTGTTAGTGAGTCATATTCATCATAAGTGCATTGGGAACATTAGCTAATTTCTCATTGAGATAACCACAAGATTGCATAGGAGAAGATTGTTCTCAGTAAATAAATCAAGTACATATTTGCATTGAGACAGACAAATACCCCGAGTGACCGAACAACTTTTATGCTTAAAAAGTACCGAAGTGATCTCATTTTCTTCATTTCAAAAGAAGCAGCAAGAATTCTTTTCAGAGATTTCAGTGTTGGTAGAAATTTGGCCACTAAATGAATGTCAAAAGAAGAGGGTGTGATCAGATTGGGACTAAGAAAAACCATAACCCATTACCACCTTTGTGAACTTATCGAATGAGGCCCTTGGTGATTGCTTCAGACTTGTTCCTGGAGGAAAGTAGAATCAATGTCTGAAGGGAGGCACATGTACACCTCTATGAGATCCCCATTCAAGAAAGCATTTTTGACATCCAGCTGGAGCAAGAGCTAATCCAAATTCACAACAAGAGAAAGTAGGGCTTAAATGGTATTTAATTTAGCAACTATAGCAAATGTCTCCTCATAATCAACTCCATATGTTTGTGAGTAGCCTTTGGCGACTAACCATGTCTTGTTGCGTTCCAATGATTCATTAGAGTTAAACTTGGTGCTAAAAATTCAATGACACCCCATAAATTTTTTACTTGGAGGAAGATCTACAACATCCTATGTATGATTCCTTTGAAGGGCATTCATCTTATTTATTATTGCAGCTTTCTAGGAAGGCTCAACTAATGCTACTTCAATAGTGGATGGGAGGTGATGATTTGTCATGGTGGTAGCAAATACTTTATAGGTCGGCGATACACTATGGAAAGAGATATATTTTTCCATGGAATAAATAGAGCTTGTCTGATTACATTCCTCAATAGGAGTACTTTCTAATTCAGAGTGATGTTAGTTATGGGGATGTCTCTCGGGGTGGATTTCTGGTCCTGTAAAGAGGTAGCAGACTCCAGAGCAGGAACATGAGCACGTCGAATATAGACATGGAGAATGAGAGGAGGTTCAGGTTGTCTTGTCGATGGTGGATCCATAGGGATGACGGTCTCGTCGAAACTAGTAGGAGAAATATCCACAGGAGTTAGATAAGGAATAGTATCCAGAAAATCAAGCGGCCCTTTTGAGGAGGTACTGACAGGAAAGTAGGGAACACTTTCATAAAAAAAAACATCGACACTTACATAGAGTTTATTTGTAGTAGGATCAAAACACCGATAGCCCTTTTGAGTGGCAGAATTATTAGGAAGACATTTTTTATATACCTGAGATCAAGCAAACTATGATTAGGGTTAGTGTTTCGAACAAATTTTGTGCATCAATATATTTTTAGTTCAAGCGTGGTGAAGAGTCTATTGGTAGGGAAACAAGATCTCAAGATGGCTAATGGAGTTCTGAAGTTATGAATTTTTGTGGGGATTCTATTGATGAGGTAGGTGGCGGTAAGCACAACGTCGTTCCAAAAACATTTTGGGACATTAGATTAAAACATCATGGAGCAAGAAATTTTGGGAAAGTGTCGGTTTTTTTCTATCAGTTACTCTATTTTGTTGAGGAGTATCCGTACATTAGTTATGATAGAGGATACTCTTACTTACCAATAACTCACCTAAATAAGAGTTAAAAAATTCAAGGTTATTGTCAATTCGAATGACTTGAATTGAAGTTTTGAATTGGGACAAAATGAATGAGTGAAAATTTTGAAGGTGACAACAACTTCAGATTTATCTTTTAAGATATTAACACACATCATTCCAAGTGTGGTAATCAATTAAGGTAAGGAATCATCATTTATTGGTGTAATTCAGAGTGCGGGAGGGTCCCCACAAATCACTGTGAATAAGAGAAAAAGGTGCAAAAGGTGTGGTAGGGATGAGATGGATAAGAAATGCGATGATTAGTAGCTAATTGGAAAATTTTACATTTGAAGTTAGCAAGATTTTTATTGGTAAACATCAATGGATACAATTATTTTAAATAAGGAAAGCTAGGATGATGCAAACGATGATGCAACAATATAATAGGACACTCGGTGAATCGAGATACTACAGCTCCTGGGAAAAATGTCTTTGTTCTTTGTGTCTTTCTCTTGCAAGAAGTAAAGCCCAGCTACTCATTTAGTTGTTCTAATCATCTTCCCCGAACGACGTTCCTGAAAGAGACAAACATCAAGAGAAAAATGAGCAACGCAATTTGTCATGTGTCGGTTTAGTAACATAATACAGGTTGTTACACTTAAACAGAGGGACATGTAACACAGATTCCAAAGTTAGATCGATTATGTTAACACAACGGATCCTTTGTCAGCACTGGAGTGCCATCAACAATTTTAACCGCATCATTTCCAGATTATGGATAATATGTTGAGAAAATTTGAGAGCATCCAATCATGTGGTCTTTAACACCTAAATCAATGATCCATGGACTAGAAAAATAAATGAGAGACATAGGGAGTGATACCTTGATGAACATGAAAGGTTGACGAGCCGGAAGTGATTTGACTGGATCCGAGTAGTTTGATTAATGTTGCATCTGACTCTTAAGAGAGTTGGATGACTCCTGAGTGTTATTATTAGAGTTGGATGTTTTGCAATAGACTTGGATGATGTAGAGAGATCTTTAACAGTGGAAGATTTGTGTGTCGGTTTTGCATGGAGTTTCCAAGACTTATCTCGAACTGCAATAGACTCGGATGATGTAGGGCATTGGCAGAAGGAAGAAACATATACGAATGGTCATCCGCAGTCTCCATAGAGTTAATCAACCATGACATGATCATGGAATTGTTCACTTTCCACGCTTCATACGTCATGTCAGTTTTAGGAGGTTCACAAGTCATTCCCGTGAGATAGTTGAATTTTTCAGCGTCTCTTGACAAACAAAGATACAGTTTGGGACCATTGGAGAAAATTAAATTTGTTCAACTTATCAGTGGTGATTAACAAGTTAATGTGGTTTTCCGCTCCTTCGGTCTGCGGAGGAATTGAGATCGTTGTCCATCCTCCAGTGGGCTCAAGTACACTGTCGGGAGAAGATTCAGTGGTGGAAGAGTCTGTCATGGTTCCAATTGAGCCAAATGTGATGTTAGGCAAGGTTGGGAAGGTGCAGGGCTTCGGGGAAACCAATTGAGCCAAATGTGATGTTAGGTTGCCGAGACAGGAATATCTTGCTAGTTGGACATAGGCAGACCTAGATGCTAGAAACAACCATCAAAACAGTGGCTATGAAAGATAGGTTTGGCTGGAGACAAATCAGGTCGGCGACAAGGGTTTTCGATGGTCGGAACCTACCACCAGCAGGTCAAGCGGTTGCTTTGGAGAAAGATCTGGCCAGCGACAAAGAGTTCTAAACCATGGCTCTGATATCATGTTAACTTTGAGAATAGAAACAGTTAATTTCGTTGATAGGAGAATAGTAATAAATACATTTTACAATTTCTTAATAAAAGGAAAGAAATAAAATTTACATGAATATGGAAATGTAGAAATAAGGAAAGCAAATAAAATCTAATAAATAGAATCTCATAATAATTGAATTAATAATTAGCCTAATAATTAGGTTAATAATTAATTCCAATATCATGTTTACTTTTGTCAATAAGTTTTAGCTCGCCCTCCATCTTAAATCTCATTGGGAGCTTTGTTTAAGCAAATGATAGTCATCAATGTTCTCTTAGGATTGAGAAATAGCTATAGTTTTTTGTCATTGGCTAGCATGCTTCCCCTTGGGGGCATAAAGGTTGGGAGTATCCTAAACCTCTTGCATATTTACCATGCTCATGTTGGATCTTGCAAATATAACCTTTTGGAAGTTCTCAAAAGTAGTAAGCTCTCTAAGTTGTGTAGGTTTGAGTAATTCCTTCTCAATCAGGCTTCTCATAGCCAAGCAAATTAGAACTTTGGTTTGGTCATTGCCTTCATATTCTTAGTATTGATGTTCCATTATGACAGATTTGATTCTCGAGTCGAGTGACTCCTGCTTTATTATCAACTTTTTTTTTTTTTTTTTTGAAATTTTACAACATTGTTGGATACAAAGCTAGTCACCATCTTTGTTTGTTGCAAAGATTTTGAAGTGATGAGTGGGGCGTCCTAGGATCGATATTTTTTAGTTTGGCACTCTCATTAAGGTGATGATTTTCACCATTAATGTCGTTTGTGAAGTGAGGAACTTTTATTGGAGGCAACTTAGGCCACTTTATAATCTTTGGGAATTCCATCACTCAATTTAGGCCACTCCACTCACTTTTAAACCAAAGAACCATCACTCCTCGCATCTTAGTGGGATCGATGATAATGTTTCCAATTCCTTACATAAATGTACAAAAGAAGAGCACTAAATAGGTTAATGAGCCGTGAATTAGCCCAATGAATTAAGCGTGCTTGTGACGAAAGCAAAGTATTATTGATTAAGTTGGGAGTATTGATAAGCCTTAATGGAGGATCAAAAATGGCAAAACATTTATAGCCATTGCCCATAGTATTGGAGAAAATTTGGGTATGAATATTTTGACTCAATTTTAGTTTTAATGAGTTTTATAGCTATAACATTTACTTTTTGAGTTAAATACAATATAAATTTTAGTAGATTATTCATGTATTACCTTCATCTCAATGTAAATCTAATGGATATAAAGCACATCTAAAGTTCATGACATTTTAGCATGATCATAACACGAGATAATACACGAAATTTTAAGTGAAGTTTTGTTTGTATTCATGTTTATCTTGAATATATACTATAGTTGCAAGCCTTCTAACACTGGAAGCAATAATAGTAAAACTAAATATTATTGTTGAGTTCAAATAGGAAATTACAACTAGATAAATGGAAAAATAAATAGCAACAAGCACGACATACCACATGCTGCTAGAGTGGCCATCGAGTGGTGGTGGTGGCCATTAGGGACTTAGAAAGGTGTAGGCAAGGTTGGGAAGGTGCAGGGCTTCGGGGAAACAGCGGCAAGGCAGCGTCGGCTTGCTGTCCTAGGCGGCAACAAGTAGGGAATTGCTGTAACCGGTAGTAACCAGCAAGAATCGGCTGGCCCAAGGGGCTGGAATGTAAATTTAGACATTACATAGCTACCATTGATACTTACTTTGTTGTCATGTTTAAATTATTTGTAAATTAAATTGAAGGTAACCTCAACCCATTTAGGAAGTCAAGCAATTTGGTATTATCAGTTTTATGTTAATTGATTAGTTATCATTTGGAAGGTTGCATGGATAATGTGCTATATATAAGGTTACATGAAGATTATAAAAAAAAAGGCTATAAATAATAAAATCACACTAACCTAGAGGACAATTCTTCAAAATGGTAAGTGCCAGACTACTAGTTAGTTTGGTTGATAAAGATTTTGGTAATTCTTGTGAAGGCCCTAATTTTGAATCCTGTATACATCGAATTTGTGCTTTTAACACTCAACATTCTAAACAAATAAATAAATAAATTTAGACATTACATAGCTACCATTGATACTTACTTTGTTGTCATGTTTAAATTATTTGTAAATTAAATTGAAGGTGACCTCAACCCATTTAGGAAGTCAAGCAATTTGGTATTATCAGTTTTATGTTAATTGATTAGTTATCATTTGGAAGGTTGCATGGATAATGTGCTATATAGAAGGTTGCATGAAGATTATAGAAAAAAAAGGCTATAAATAATAAAATCACACTAACCTAGAGGACAAGCCTTCAAAATGGTAAGTGCCAGACTACTAGTTTGTTTGGTTGGTAAAGATTTTGGTAGTTCTTGTGAAGGCCCTAATTTTGAATCCTGTATACATCGAATTTGTGCTTTTAACACTCAACATTCTAAACAAATAAATAAATAAATTTAGACATTACCTAGCTACCATTGATACTTTGTTGTCCTGTTTAAATTATTTGTAAATTAAATTGAGATGTTATTTTATTTCATCATATATCAATTTAAATTTACCAGGGACCATGGTGTGCTTGTTAGTGGAGGGGCGTGTTAAAGAAAACAAATAACAGTGGTTGTGATGGCGATCTCTCATTAATGAACTGATTAACCTTAGGTTCATAACAATTTTTTTTAGTTATTTTTATAAGGTTTTTTCTTTTTAAATCATTTAGTTAATTGAATTTTAATTAGTCTAATCTAAAAATAAATTTTCATAATATAATTTAGCTAATCACTAATTAATTTAATCAGTAGTTGATTGGAGAAACATTCAAAACTAAAGTTTTGGGTCATCTCAAAACAACATCGTCCTACCATTTGCTATGTTTGATGATCCATTTACTGGAGGAGTATATTTGGAACTTTGATAGTAGTATATAGAATAATCTTATATTCTTAATATTGCCAAATTCATAACCAAAAAAAAACTCAGGTAATTTTCATAGCTATCACAGCCAAAAGAACAAAAAAATGATGCAAATTTGTATATTTATAATTTAGAATATTATTTACTCATGCATTTATTTCACAGAAGTTTCTTCATATAAATGTTAGCGAGACAATGGGTCATATCATGTGGAGATTCAATTATGTGTTAATAGGAAGATCATAAACCTGATAAAAATTTCTTATATAACACCCAAGGAAGCTATATGACTCCCTTTCATAAATACAATCGGGTTATTAAACTAACAGATGACTAAATGATGTAGTATAATGCTTTGTAAATTATGCTTGCTTGAAATAACTTAATATAGGTTTAATGAATGTTGGGGGCAATGAGCTAAAACCTAAGGTGAAACTAAGGCTCTAGCTCCGAATTCAAGTTAGAAATATGGATTATTGAGTTTCTATTCAATGGTAGTATTTCTTCTCTCTAGACCTATTGCACTTATTTATTGTAGCTTCATTTTGAATAATGTTTATTATACAAAATAGTAATATGTATTTACTTTAATTATTTAATAAAATTATCCACATTGTTTTGAGTTATGTGCGATGTTACATTATTTCAAAAATACCATAAAATGATTCATTCACTCTTTAGTTAATGTCTATGAGTTTTTGTTTTACATGTCATGTCCATGTTTCTCAAAACTGTCATTGTTATGATTTTATTTTCAACATGATGTTCTATTGTTATGCCAATGACTCCAATTCTATGATATTGCTATATTTATGATTCTGTAATTTGATTATATGAATTTCTATTAATTTTATAGTTTATCCATGTTTATGATTACCATGATGCTACAATATCCTTCATCTTACATGGCATGTTATGTATGCCTATAATTTCAAGTGGTAAGCTGATGCGATGATTAAAAAATACAAATCCAGGGCAAAAGCTCATAAAGATAAAACATTGCATAAAAGAATGGATGCCAAGAAAAGCCTATATGAATGTTTACATATGGATATTGATGGATGGAGCTCTAGTATACTAATACTATTTGAGGATGCTAACATCATATTCATGGCATTTTCTCCATGAAAAAAAACGAGCATAAGAGTTGTGCCATATTATGTTGACAGAAGATGTATTCGCCAATGGTGAATTAGATATGTTACCTCCACAGACAGTAATGGACATCAGAACTACACCTGTTGTTCCGACGGCGAAGCATCCACTAGTGGTGAGTTAGATTTAGCCTTGTCTATTGTTGATATGGCTCTCAAGACAGAATGTATAATTTTTTTAGTTGTAATCATAAAGACATGCCACTCCATGCAATAATTCATAATGATGATGATGACAATGATGATATTCAAATACTAAAATTGTGGTCAATAATTAGTGCGATGGCTCTATATTCCTATGCTACGATAGTCACTATTATGCCAATATCATTTTTATGCAGAAGTCTTCACAAAGTTAATGGATTGCCATCCATATTGCTTATCTTACGCTTAATATGATTTAAAACTATTATGCATCTCTTAATCATATATTATATTATAGTATGTAATTCAAAATCATTTGATATTTTAACACTAGTACAATAACTGTAGATTTTATGGAAAATTTACAAACAATGCAGTCGATTCTTATGTATTTTAAAATTCAGTTTTTAGATCTACACCACCTTTATGCCTAAAAAAGGTTATATCTCATTTTTTAGTAGCTAAAATAGTTGTATTTTAATTTTATGTCAAAATTTTGGGTAGTATAAATTTAAAAAGAAAAGTAGGTCGACATCATTAGATACACTGGAAATTTAAGAAGAAAAGTAGGTCGACATCATTAGATACACTGGAATTGAGTTGTATGTATTTACACTCATCTCACAACATTTCCAGAAGATTGGCAGAATGGTTGGATCTTATACGCTGCTCGCATATTCATTACATACAACATTGTGCATGATATGTACTAAAGCACAAATGAAGAAAAGTGCTGGCAGAAAATCATCAAAACTGCTGAGCAAAACCTTTCAACAGAAAGCAACAAAGGTAGATAGAAGAATAAAAGAGCTTCATATAACATACAAAGAACTGATCGGTTAACTCTTCTATTTAAGCAAAGCCTCCATTGCATCAAATAAGAGTGGAGCCATTTCTGGGCTAGGCGTCTTCACCGCACATTTGACACCCAGTGCACCGACTGAAGCAGTGAGCTCGATCAAAAATGGTATGCCGTGCGGGATCTTCGCAGACATATATAAGATCTCCTTGTTCGCATTCCTCCGCTTGGCGATGAAGAAGACATTGGCAGCTGCCAAGGTCTCAACTGTAGAATCTACGCTGTGGATGATGGCAGTTGGTAGATCTTTTGCAACTTCATTGGAATCAGGAAGAGATTTCCATGTCTGAATGAAAAACAAACATGAGAACAAGAAAAATAGATTTATACTGCTGTAAGGAAAATGACATTTATCCTCTTAATATATTTTTGCATCTAAAGTTTTACATCATGTTTTAAATTACATCATGATCAATAGAGGGGTAACAAGTTGAACTTGAACGAGCGCAATGCTTATGCATGTTTAGCTGTTCAAAATGTTTTTGTTTGAAATTGGCTTGTTTTCGAATGGCCGTGAATAACTTCTTTGTGTTCGACTTGACTTGAATTCATTTTTTTGTATTAGCCCTGTGTTAGGTTTGACATTAGCTCGAATGATTTTAAAAAGAATAAAAATTAACATTTTTTTAATATAATATAAAAATATCATAATAATATTATTTATTTAACTATTTAATTAATTAAAGTTGAACATGATCGAATAAAATTCTATTTATGTTTGCCTTATTCATAAATCGAACTTAAAAAAACCGAAAAAAAACCGTTCATATCCACTCAATGAACAAATCAAACACGAGCTATTTAGCAAATCGAACAAGTATTTGTAAATGACGAGCAAGGTTTGAGAAAATGCACCAAGTATTGTAGTAATTTATAAGAAAAATAAAATGTTTTATTGCGCATTCAGGATTTGAGTCATCTTTCCAATGCAGTTGATTTAACATAAAAATTCTCTTTCCCACTCAAATTCAAGCTTTAAGCACAGTCTGTTGTTCCAAGGAAAACTTCACTTCCATATTTGATTCCAAGAAAAAACTTAGAAAATAAAAATTAGGCATCTACAAAAAAGTTGGAGCTAAGCAATAATATTCAAAAAGGCAGATTTCACAAATTCTTCTCCAAAAGAAAGGTTGGATAAAATCTCTCATTCTTAGGGGACAACATTTGAAGAATTCCCTCTCCTAGAGAAGCTTTACTAAAGGTCCTTCAGAGACCAGATGAGTCGAATATACCTCTCCTTTGGGAAGGAGAGATAGATTAGGGACATCCTTGATAAGAAGAGTCCTTATGAAAAAGATCAAGACATATGTGTCAACTCCCTAGATGAATGCAACAATTATAACATAGGTGGTGCCACAATTCCTACGAACCGAAGTTGGGTTGTATCTCGAAGGACAATAAAAAACAAGGTCCAATGTGGATCATGGGTTTAATCTCCAATGTTGTAAGCATTGAAGATCATTTAAGGTGGTGGTCGATTTATTCAAATTTCACAAAAAGTTATTCAAACTTGAAACCGGACAATTTTTAGAATCACTGGTTGCAAGATGTATTTGTAACCCATCCTATCACAACCTGACAGCAACGAATCCCATTAATGTAGATTTCTACTCAGAAAAGAAAGAAAAAAAAATCATGAATTTGATGATCGTTGGTTAAATATCAAGTAGAGCTGCAATTCTTCATTCCACCGGGTTTCGCCGGTAAAAAGTTGATATTTCTTGACGGTTAGTCCACCTTTTTTGTCCCTTTTGTGAGTATTTGCAACTTTAAAAACGACCATCACCTCATGTTAAATTTTAAACTAATATCTTTTTACTAATCTCGTACTTAACAAGTTTTTTTGGAAAAATTGACATATACACCAGACCCAAAGGTTTTTGACATAAGAAACCTAATTCTTCTCTCTTGTTAAATGCTTGGGAATTCATGAGCTAGGACTAACGCGTATCATTTATTGGTCAATAGAAAAATCTAGCACATAACTAAGTCAATCAGTTAAAAGGTTGCAAAAAGTCAAATAAATCAAATGAGTAGTTAGAAATCAAAATCTTGGCCAAGTTTATTGAATTTTGA